GTTATGAAACACATTCATAATGAATTGCTAAAAGAGGCTATAGGGTTTGATATGGTGATCTGGGTTACAGTCTCACATCCACTTAATGTTATAAAATTACAAGGTGACATTGCTAATAAAATCAACAAAAGTCTTCCAAATGGGGATGAACTGAGTCGGGCTCGGGCATCAAGATTGATGAATTTTATGAAAACAGTGAAATATGCATTGATCTTAGATGATGTGTGGGATAAGTTCACTCTTCACAGTGTTGGAATTCCAGAACCAACAACAGAAAATGGCTGCAAAATAGTCATTACTAGCAGATCGGTGGATGTATGTAATTACATGGGTTGTCATATAGTTAAAATGTCACCTCTTTCAGAGCAGGAGTCTTTGAACTTGTTCTTGGATACGGTGGGGCGAGATGTTCAACAAATTCCTAGTGTAGAAGGGATTTTGAAGCTTATAGTGGACGAGTGTGATGGTTTGCCACTCGCCATTGTTGTAATTGCCGAAAGCATGAAAGGTGTGAAAGATATCCATGAGTGGAAGAATGCGTTAAGGGAATTACGCAGATGTGTAGCTGGTCCGATTGAAGATAAGGAATATGAGATATTTAATCGTTTGAAGTTCAGTTATGACCGTCTGCCAAATCCAAACATCCAAAACTGTTTCTTGTATTGTTCATTGTACCCTGAAGATTTTGAAATTAGTAGAGCAGATCTGATTGAACATTGGATTTGCGAGGGATTTATTGAAGAATTGGGGAGTAGACGAGAAATGCATGATAGAGGACATACTATTTTAAATAGGCTTCAAAACAATTGTCTGTTAGAGGAAGCCAATGAGAAGGGATATGTTAAGATGCATGATGTTGTGAGGGACATGGCAATACTTATCAAGGGTAACGGTCCTCGTAGGTTTATAGTAAAGACTGGGGTGGGATTGATAGAGATACCAGGCGAGGATGAATGGACTCAAGATCTGGAGATGGTTTCCCTCATGAGAAATAACATATCACATATTCCTGTAAATTTGTCCCCAAAATGCCTGATGCTCTCAACCTTGATTTTGAAGGGCAACAGAAGATTGACACAAATTCCAGAGTGTTTTTTTGCAAACATGATCCGGCTCAAGTTTCTTGATCTTTCTTCTACGAGTTTAAAGGCTCTACCTAATTCCATGTGTAACTTGGAAAGCCTTACTGCATTGATCCTTTGTGAATGTTTCAATTTAGTACACATGCCTTCCTTGGAAAAGCTCAAGACACTGAAGAAGTTGGATCTGCGAGGTACAGGTCTTCTCGTGGTCCCGAAAGGCATTGAAATGTTGGTGAATCTACAGTATCTTGATTTATCTTGTCAACACTTGGGGGAGCTGCCCAAAGGAATGATCAGCAACCTCTCTCGCCTGCAGTACCTGGGTAGAGATTGGCTTTCAACTGAAGAAACAATAAGAGGGGAAGAAGTAGCCGGATTGAAAATGCTGGAAAGTTTTGAAGCTGGTTTTCATGATCTAAAAAGCTTCAACAGTTATGTAAAGTCAAAACATTTTGTAAGACTCCGTCATTATGTGCTTGCAGTGGGACCTCGCACTAACGTGCATTTTCCAAAATACCCATTGAAAAGGGTAATTTTAAACGGATTCTTCACAGCAGATGATAGCTGGGTGCTTCCAGATGACATTCAGGATTTAGTAATTTGTAATTACATTGTGGAAATGGATAAAACACTAAAAATGCGTGCGGGTTCGGCAGAGAAGAATTTGTCTCTATGTAAGTTTCTGCAGAACTTAGAGGAGGTTTACATCTCCTCTTGCAGTTTCGAGGATATAATAGGATGGGAAGAAGAGGAAGAGGAAGGAAATCAATTAAGGGTTGCATTGACTCTTCTAAAATTTAGCAAACTTTGTATAGAAGATTCAAAAGTGAAAAGGTTGTTTCTAGGTAGGTTGTTGCAAGGCCACCAAGAGGTTTACATCTCTGATTGCATTATCGAGGAAATAATAGCATGGAAAGAAGAGGAAGAAGAAGGGGAAGGAAATCAAATAAGTGCTGCATTGACTCTTCCAAGATTTAGGAAACTTTGCATAGAAGATTCAAAAGTGAAAAGGTTGTTTCTAGGTAAGCTGCTGCAGGGCCACCAAGAGATTCACATCTCTGAATGCTCTATTGAGGAAGTAATAGCATGGAAAGAAGAGGGAGCGGAGGAGGAAGGAAATCAAGTGGGTGCTGCATCGACTCTTCCAAGATTTAGGAAACTGTGTATAGATGATTCAAAAGTGAAAAGGTTGTTTCTAGGTAAGCTTCTGCAGGGCCACCAAGAGATTCACATTTCTGATTGTTCTATTGATGAAATAACAGCATGGAAAGAAGAGGAAGAGGAAGGAAGTCAAATAAGTGCTGCTTTGACTCTTCCAAGATTGATCAAATTATGTATAGAAGATTCAAAAGTGAAAAGGTTGTTTCTAGGTAAGTTGCAGGGCCACCAAGAGATTCACATCTCTGAATGCACCATGGAGGAAATAATAGCATGGAAAGAAGAGGAAGAGGAAAAGGAAGGAAATCAAACAACTACTGCATTTACCCCTCCAAGATTTAGGAAACTTTTTATGGAAGATTCAAAAGTGAAGAAGGTTGTTTATAGGTAAGTTGCTGCAGGGCCTGCAAGAGATTCACATTTCTTATTGCACTATCGAGGAAATAATGGCATGGAAAGAAGAGGAAGGAGAGGGAAATCAAACAATTGCTGCATCTCTCCCCAAGGTAACGATATTTTAAAAAAATAAAATAAAAAATCCTCCATTCAAATGTGAAGTTTTTAGATAATCCTACGATGGGCCAACATGAGGTAAAGTGAATCTCGTTGATTTGCTTAACTATTTAATTTTGATTTGCTTCTAAGTTGCCATCTCCCTTCGATGCTTCAGGTAGAAGGTTGAGTTCCTTCGTTGGCGATGTTAGCATCGGAACAGAAGAGCTAACAAATATGAATTGTGAGCATGAACTTTCACAAAAAAGTGGGACCAATTTTCTGACTACTCATGGCTCCAATGCTATTATTTCAGGTTAGGGTTATATTATATGTGCCCAAACTCTTAATTGATGTGATTCCAAGATTACGGGCAACAGGACCTTCCTATCCTACCCACTTTAACACAAGATTGATTGGTCTTTGATTCTACTTTAACCGATCTTCAATTGGTTTTAGGCTGAATTCAAACTAGTCGAATCCAATTTATTGTTTGTGGAATGATCTTATCAAGTTGGATGATGCTTTTTTGGTTAATTAACCACTTGTACGTGCAATGTCTTTTCATTTGTTAAGGGAGAAAGCTTAAACTTCTCTTCTACCTAGCTGACAGTGCCCATAATTTTCTAGTGAACTGGCCTTGAAGATATTTACAGTTTTTTCTGGCTCCAAAGATGTCCACAGTTCAAAACCCAAGATTCCTTCGTATCAGGTGAGAGTTAATGCAGGTAAGTTTTGGAGTTCTTTTTCCTACTTTCACATATATATTTATGCATGTAAATGCTCTATAAATCATTCTTTTTCTCTTGCAGGCTACCATGTTTAAGAGCGATACAAGGACAGAAATAAATGTCAATTAATCATCTCAAAGGTTTTATGGAAATTAATCCCGATTCTTTATGCTTTGTAAAGGACTAAGGATCAATACCATCAGATTGCGAATACTTATCTTGTTCATTTAAGGTATACATGAACATACAACGCTAAGATGATATATATGTTATGTTGCAGGTAGGAAATCCAGAAACTGATTATTATTATTATGATTTTATGGTGCTTTTTCAGAATATAAGCAGACCCATACAATACCAGATCACCTCTACCTCAAAGCAAAACAAGTGTATGCTGTCCATAATGAACTTGTTTGGCCAGTGCAACAATGCCATGAACAAAGTCACTGATGAATAAACAGAGCTATTGAATGTCTTATTTAATAGCCCATCTTCATTTTGCTGGAATCAGAGGCCAAGGTGTTGACTCGCTTGGCAAGGTGCTTATCTAAATACCATATAATATATAATGAGAAATGATGCAAAGCAAGAACAAAAAGTGACAGTTAGCATTGTTTGATTTTCATAATTGCTATTTTGTTTTGCCATATTGATCTTGAATTTGGTTAGGAAATATGAATCTTGCAACAGTGGGGACACAGATGGCAGAGTGCATATCATTGGTTCACGGAACTGCGTTCAACACCTTCCCATTTCTTCTTGGGGATCCTGGAACCATCACCATCAGGTTTTTGTTCTACTCCTTTGGTGCAGAACTCCAACAGCATATTAAATTGTCATCCAAAATCGGTGGGTTTTTTTAGTCAGATTTCCAAACTGCACAACATTAACACAACTTGTGAAATTGCAGGTTGAGGGAAGGATAGTAGAGCATAAAGGAACATTAACATGTGGGAAGAGTAAGAGGGGCCGGTCACTTGGTGCTACTAAACAAACGAAGGCTCTCCCTCCCTCTCATCTCCTTCCTGACTGGTAAACCTCTCCCTACACAGAGATCCTCAAATCCTTGGGCTAGAATGGTATCCAACTCCACTGTGATAAACTTCATGTTAATGGAATCAATAACAGAACAGAGCTGGGGCTGAAGGATTTTGTTGGAATTATTGCTAGAAACGTGGCAATCAAATCTGCAGAAATGAAGAAATGAAACTGCCATGAAATGGCAGCAATGAGGCTGAAAATTGACAGCAAATGAAGCTGCAATTTTCAGCAAATATGGCAGCAATTTAGCTGCAAATATGGTGAAAATGAAGCTGTAAAATGACAGCAACAATGTGCAGCAAGCTGAGCTGCAATGTTGATGAAATGAGGCTGCAACGGGCAGCAAATGCAAACAGCAAATGAAATGCACATGAAATGCAAATGCAAACTCAAATGCAAATTAAATGAAAGCTGCAAAGTTTAAGTGGCTGAAGAGTAACAGCAAGCATGCGGGAAAAGTGGCTGTTATTGTTCAAATTTAAAATGTACTTTATTGTTTTTTAATGTAGAAAGTTGTTTGAATTTTGAATTAAGATTGTATTCTCCTATATAGAGGAGAGTTTATTAATGAGAAAAGGTGAGTTGAAGTCATATACTTCTCTCCATTTCAGCTTATGCTCTGTTTTTCATCTTCCTCTCGGTTCTCTCCATTTCTTTGTTTTAAGAAACCAACAGATTTATCATGGTATTGGTAACTAGATGGCTGGTTTTAGCATGTACCTTATAAATTGCAGCAACTATGGAGCTTATGTCATGGTCTCCTTCCTCTTGGATTGAGACTATCTTGCCATTTGTACCCAAAGTTTGGGAATGGAGTTGATCCCCAACAGCAATTACCCTCATAGGAACGTCATCAAGAAAATCACTCTCACCATCAATACCATGCAGTGGAGCCAGGAGCCTGCAGCATGTTCATCATCAAAACAACTTTCCAGTGCTTCACAGGGTATTTTGGCTTATCCTCCTTGCTGATGCTGTTGGAATTCCATTCCCTATAATTTACTAATAAGCCATACCCTCGAGTGTCTTGTATCTATAATTAAGGCTTAGTACTGTGTCGATTTCAAACATTGAAATCCAAGAGGAAGTACAAATTTGGATCAAACAATTCGTGATTTGATTTGGTTCAGCAAGCCAAGCAGGTTGGCGTTATTTTTACCATCAAAATTTTTTAAACGTCACCTCATTTTGCCACAGCTTCTACACCTTTGGTTGCTGAATAATTGGAAGAGGGGGATGCAACATGCATATTTAAGGGTATTCTTATCCCATAAGCATTTCTCAATCCTCACCGTATCGCATTCCTACAGTGTCTCTTACACATTTGCACTTCAATTGTTAGAATTTAAATATTCTAATAAAAAAATAAAATAATATATTTTATAAATTAAATTTTTTATCCAATTAAAAACTTAATCAAACTAACTGTTTTAAATTAATTATTCTATTTAACAGCACATTATTTTATAATAATAGTTCAATTTATTCTTATCATTAACTTACAAATAGAAGTTACAAAACCATAAACCCCATAAATAGGATATGTCTTTTTACTTAAAAAGAAGAAAGTTTCTCCATATTCTTCTACTTTCTTACTTTACTCTATCTTCAAAATATTTTTAAATAAAAAAAGATGTTTTAAATTATGTGACTTTATAAATAATATAAATTTATAGAGTGTTATTATAAACATGTAACATTCTGAGAACAATATGTTATATATGTTTCTGCTGTACCAATTGACCTACTTTTTACCAAGTTATGAATCATCTTATTAAAACAAGTAAACTTTTTACACATATTTCGATGATATGTGGCATACAACGCATGAACTTCCGTTATATAACGGAAGTTGGATTATGACGTGGCTTAGGTGCACTGCAT